CCTGGGGTGGTGCCGGGCGCAGGAAGGTTGTGCTGGGCGTGAGACCCTTGTGAGGTCTCTACCTGATTTCACGCTGAGCGTGAGTTGGGCACGCCAGGTTTGGGAGACTCCTTGAAGTCTCTGCCTACCAACACGCTGGGCGTGATGTTGCTACACTGGGCGTGAGAGAGCTTTAGAGCTCTCGGGTTGGGTTCAGGCCAGGCGCGAGCTTATGCGCCGGGCGTGAAGGTGTTTGGTCCTATGATTATGAAATGTTGAATATTGTGATATGATGAGAAGATATAGTTGTGTATTGTGTAGAAATTTCGTATGTATGATTTGAATGAGTTGCTTTGCTGCTGAAACATGTTGTTAAACACTGTTGAGAAGTTGTTGTGCTGTTGAGTTGTGTTGTTAATATTATGAGTTGACCAACACGTTGTTTTAAGTTGAAAGTTGATTGAGAAGATAAGTTGAAAAGTTGTGTGTTGTTTAAGTTGTTGAGCTAAGCTAAGCTGTGTTGTTGAGTTGTAAGCTGATTGTGTTGTGATGACAAGTTGTTGATCACTAGGACTAGGTGAGATGTTTTCAAAGTTGCTCATCCCATTGTGCGGATTAAGGTAGTTGTGGTGCTCTGAGAGCCCAATTTGTTGAAAACCCTCCTTGGGAAGTTGTCCCTTAGAGTGGACGTTGTGTTGTTCTCCTCTAGGACTTAGTTGGTCCCGTGTGTGGGCAAGGTCGAGGCACACGTGTACAAAGCGACCACGGTATAGGGGTCAGGTCGAGCTATACCGATTACAAGTTGCTAATTCAAGTAAAGTACGAAGTCGGGAACTTAGTTCCTAAACAAGTATTAGAGGATTGTAGTATTTGGAGGATAGTCGGTAGGCTAATCCCATAGGTGGCTTAGTTGAGCTAGCTAATGTCGTGGTAGGCCTAAACCTAGTTGTTCTATCCTGACAAAGTACTATACTTCCTTATTTAAGTGGCAAAGTTTGAGAAATTGTTATCATGTTGTGGATTGATATCCAAATTTGTTGTTTACCTAGGAAGCCCAAAAAGATTTCGTGTTGTTGGTTCGGTAGGACCTAGCCACATAGACTACTCACCCATGTTGTAGGAGATCTCCTAGTTGAAATGCGTGATGATGCATAATTAAGTTGTTGATGTGTTGATCTTGTGTTGATTTGATTTGTATATATGTTGTGGTGTTGTGAAGTTGTGATTGAGTTAAGTGTTGAAATGTGTTGTATGTCGAACTATGGAAATGTTATTTCTGTTGATGAGTTGTAAGTTGTTTATATATATATATATATATATATATATATATACACACATATATATATGTT